TCCTTTTAATAGGCTCCAGTTCAGCCTATATTGCTCAACTTATGCAAAGTTTAAATGATCAATTTGCTCTTAAGACTCTTGGATTGTTGCATTATTTTCTTGGTTTGGAGGCTACAAGGACCTGTAGTGGTATTCACTTGAAGCAAACCAAATATGCCTATGATCTTTTAGTTAAAACAAGAATGAATGATGCTCATGCTTGCTCCACTCCCATGACTGTAGGGACAAAATTATTTTATGCTGACAGTAATCTATTTGAGCACCCTAGTCTGTACAGAAGCACCATAGGTGCCTTTCAGTATCTTATTCTTACAAGACCTGATCTTAGTTTTCCTGTTAATAAACTAAGTTAGTTTCTATCTGCCCCTACTGATCTTCAGTATCAAGCATGCAAGAGAATTCTTCGATATGTTAAAGGGACACTCGATTATGGACTACATTTTCAATCAACTCATCATTTCACTGTTGAATGCTATGCTGATGCTGATTGGGGTAGTAATTTAGAGGATAGAAGATCCACTAGTGGTTATTGTGTATATATGGGTCCTAATTTAATTTAATGGAGTTTAAGAAAACTGAGAGTTGTGGCTTTATCTTCCACTGAAGCTAAATATAGGGCTTTAGCACAAACTGCCACAGAAGTGACCTGGTTACAGAGTATGTTTTATGAGTTGGGAATTCCTGTCCACACCAAACCTGTGATTTGGTGTGATAACATTAGTGCAACAGCTTTGGCCTCTAATCCGGTGTTTCATGCACAAACCAAACACATCGAAGTAGATGCACATTATATCCGAGAGCAAGTACTAGCCAATAAGGTTGTCATTCAATAGGTATCCTCTAAGCTTCAAATAGCTGATGTCTTAACTAAAGCATTGTCTACTTCACAATTTGCTAAACTAAGGCAGAAATTGACAATTGTGAGCAGAGCAGAGTTGTGAGCAGTAAGTCTTCATAATCTGCTCAGAAATCGACAGTTGTGAGTAGAGCGGAGTTATGAGTAGTAAGTCTTCTTAATCTGCTTAGTTTTGTGGATGCTTATTGACAGTTGTGAGCATTCAGTTGCATTATTTGCTTATTGACAGTTGTGAGCAGTAAGTCTTCATAATCTGCTTGTTGACAGTTGACAATTGTGTTTTTAGTTCAGTTGCTTAGTTTTGTGAATCATACAGATGATTGTTGTAGTTTGAAAAATGCATAAAGGAGAATGCAGTTCTATGGTATTTCAGTTGGACATTTCAGTTCAGCTGTACTTGGCTGTGTTGTGGTATTTGTAGTTTGAAAAATGCACAAAGGAGAATGTAGTTCTGTGGTATTTCAGTCCAGCTGTACTTTGCTGTGTTGTGGTTTTTCAGTTGGGCATTTCAGTTCAGCTGTACTTGGCTGTGTTGTGGCATTTTAGTTGGATTTTTCAGTTCAGCTGTACTTTGTTGTAGTTTGAAAAATGCACAAAGGAGAATGTAGTTCTGTGGTATTTCAGTTGAACATTTCAGTTCAGCTATACTTGGCTGTGTTGTGGTATTTGTAGTTTGAAAAATGCACAAAGGGGAATGCAGTTCTGTGGTATTTCAGTTGGACATTTTAGTTCAGCTGTACTTGGCTGTGTTATGGTATTTCAGTTGGATTTTTCAGTTCAGCTGTACTTTGTTGTGTATTTTGAAAAGTACACAAAGGAGAATGCTGTGTTTTAGATTAGTTTGTGACATTTCAACACAGTAATGGACATTTTAGTTTAGCTGTAATCTATTGTGTATTTTGAAAGGTGCAGCAGTTCGAAAAGAAGAATGCTGTGTTTCAGATCTGTTTCTTTTATTGGAGCACAAAGGTGCAGCAGTTCAGTGTTTTTTTTCTTGATGCAAAAAGAAGCTCAGCACTTAGTGACATTTCAGCATAAAGGAGCACGACTCAGAGCAGTGCAGTTTAGTTTTATTGCCACTTTGGTTACTACAAAAAGAAGAAGCATTTCTTTTAAAATGCTGCAAATGTGCAATAAAACAGTTTTATGTTGTTGCAAATAGGGACTAAAGCACCTTTCTGTATCAAAATCCTTTTCACAGCCTTATGAAGCTTGGTTTGAGGGGGAATGTTGATTAATGTGTCAAAAGGTTACAATTGTAATTTGAACAACTTTGGCTACAATTGTAGTACTGTGTCGTTTTACTCTTTCATTACTTAGCTAAAGTAACTTTACTCTTTCATTACTTAGCTAAAGTAACTTTACTCTTTCAGTGTTACTTTACTTTTTCATTTCATACAAATAGCGATATTGCTGTACTTATTCACTTAATGAAAATCAGTCTCTACAGATCGTCTGCTCTAAATTCACTCTCTCAAATTTCATCTTCTCATTTGCTCTTTGTTATTTCAACAAACTTAACATTTTAGAGAGCTATACATCAAATCCAATAGTATATAAAAGGATATTTAATAAACAATTTAGAGTTTAGACTTTTAAGACAAGTGGTAATTTAACAATTTACATACCTATACATAAAATACACTCGTGTATTTAGAAGAATTGGGGATATCTCAAGGTTGGATCACCATCATTCTCCTAATTACTTAAATCATTGATTGTTTGTGAATTTTTTTGTTCTCTTCATTTAAGGGTAACAACCTATTTATTTATTTATACAGGTAAAATTCTCACTATTTGTACTTATCAAGTTAATAAAAAGAACTTTAGAGTTTTATAATAAATATGCCACACTTTTATTTAGAGTTCTTGAAAATATAGTAGGGATTATAGAGATAAAATTGAATAGAATCAATGAAAAAAATGGTCTATATTTGAAAGAGTTATTAGTTTCTTATAATAATAATAATAATATTATTATTATTATTATTATTATTATTATTAATATTATTATTAATATTATTATTATTATTATATGAATTAGAAATAAAAAATATCACGATATGTTGATAGCTTGTGTTTTACTAATCTGCGTTTTCAATAACATAATGATCATAATTAATGATGATCTCGGGACAAAATAGAATATTAATGCGCTGATATTACCACTATTTATACTAATTAAATTCGCCGTGATTCTTTATATAATGAGTCAAAAGAGCAGTCAAGTCAAAAGAATCACAGCCACCAACTCCCATGGGGTCGACTATGCCTGTATGCCACTCACATTCACAGGCTATATCTTTTACTTATTTGTTTGCATCGAACAAGTCAAATCAATGATGAGCTAAATATTAAGTGCCTTGCTTAAATCGTCATTCATCTTCTCCCTCCAATTACAATGGAATTGAAAATGAACTAACAATCTTGCAAGGTACTCGTGTGTGCATGGTTGGCTCCTCGAGGTTTGGAACCCAGCGCCTCCCTCCCACTAATCTTATAAACATTAAACTAATTACTAAATTAATTAATTGTTGGTGTGCTAGGCTGTTGTGCACGAGGTTGGTTTAGTTTTAATGGCTATAAACTAAAGTAAACGTGCTTATGCTATTTGTTTGATAGTGACTTTTGTTGGTCGACAATGATCTGCTATCATGCTTTCCATCCCAACTGTCCAAAATATTATATTTTTCTACTGTATTTCGTCGAGCTTTAGTTTCGTCGTATGAAGTCCAAAATATTATATTGTTCGAAAGGGCATTCATACACTCTTTTACTGCAGAATCGGAGTCTTGCAATTAACACATTTTATTTAAGAATTCCATATACATACATATGAAGTGTTACCGGAAGATTGTTATGAAAAAAATCAAGATGAAAAAGAAAAGAAAAAGAATGCCATGACTCATGAATTACAAAAAAAATAATTACTGATTAGCCTAAGTGTGTTATATGTATTTATAATTAATGATGGTGATAGAGTTGTTATATTAAGATCAATCAAGTATAAGGATGTAGATAATCATTTTTAGTGCGCACCATAAAACTTTCTAGAAAAATGACAACGACTAGCGACTAGTAAACATTAAATATAGTTTCATTTTCTACTAATTATTAACATTAGCCATACTCCACATTTCAGGTCTGAATCAATTTGAGATTTAAACTAAACAAAATTTTGCAAGGTGGAAATTTTCTGATGATATTGAATCATTACTCTCTTATTCACAAATATCTCTTTTGGCTGCGTCATGAAATGAAATGATTAATGGTATCCATCATATTGAAATATTTGCAATGTTTTTCTAGGAGCATTATTAATTTTAGTATAAATCTTGAAGGCGTGATACTACATATCTCTTCAAATGTGAGTATACACAGAATTTCAAAGGAAGGGGCTGGTGTCAAGAACTTGCAAAATATTAATGTGGACCAACGAATACAATCCATCCTTTAGATGTTCTTTTTCTTGATTGGCCATTATGCATCGTCTACAGACTACATTAAAATACATCGATCAGCCCAAAGATTACGATGCAGAAGAATCGATTTCATGTATGTTTTAAACCGGTTGGGTATACAATTGACAAGAAATTAGTAGAAAAATGTTACTAACAAGTACTAGAACTCGTATATGAAAAATCCTGTGTTTCCCACGTTGAAAAAAGTCTCCATCAGTCTTACGCACTTAAGGAGCTGACTATATATCACGTGTAGTCAAGGTTTGGTGATGTGTAGCTTGTCTTTATGTAAACAAGAGTGCATTGGTTTCATTCTAGAGTTGAAAGTTATTAGTGGAGAGTGAGGATCAGTTGAAAACTGTTGGTGCAAGTATAGTTAGAAGTTTTTGCACAGAGCGGGAAATCAACTGGGTGGAGAAAACAAGATGCCGATAGTGTGGAAGATAAAGAAGTTATAAGAAACCCCAAATCACATTGTCTTACTTCGCACCAATACGTCTTTGTACAAACAAACATCTTACTTACAAGATAGCAATTAAGTTACATGAATTGTACTTGAAATCTCAGTTCGCACAACAGATAAGGTTTTATTTTAGTTTCCTATAAGAGAAAACGGGGACCTAAAGAATTCAGCACCCTAGTACAGCATGCAGGATACTTAACAAATGAAAAGAAGCGAAGCCCTAGTTTTGAATGGCATGCCCAACACCGGGACTGTGACCTGGAGCTGTCGGCCTGAAGTCATCTGCATGTTTTGGGGGTGGAGGCGCGAGTTCCCCAACCGGCGCAGTTGGAGCTGTCGGTGGAGAGACATTAGCATTTGCAGCTCTAACGGTGGTGTTCTCGTCACCATGCAAGTTACTTTTTTGCTCAGCAAGCTTCCTTGTTTCTTTTTTAAGGAGTTTGTTGTAAATTTGAAGCTTTGGGGATTCGTTTTGTCTCTCCAACTTTAAATGCCTGCCCTCGATGCATTGAATTTCTTGGCAGAAAATCAAAACGAGGACAAGAAAAGCAAAGGTGAGCTTAATTTGAGCCATAGAGAGAAGCCTCAGAAATAAGCTTTAACTACTGAGCAAAGTAACTTGCTAGAAACAAAGAAACAGAAAACTCGAAGCAACTTGCTTATTTTAGAACTATTTAAACAAATAGACTACACTCAACAAATTGCAGGCCTAAACCCTTTCGTCTCCTTGGTTTATATAGAGATAAAAGAACCCACACATGAGTATCACAAGTCGCAAGTCCTAACAGGTGGGAATTACTTTTTGTTTTAAAAAATTAATCAAGATTCATGACTTTGATGTCATGCATGCCATGCTTAGATGCTTAGATGCATGTATGCACGAAGCATCTTATGGGTTCATTGACATGCACACAATGCACGATGTATTTTGAATTTACAAGATCATATATCCTGCTGCTTTTATTAACATTTACAAAACATATAGTTAATAAATTACATATTTTGAGTGCTAAATACACAGTCAAGGAAGTGGGGAGGACTTCGATTTATGGCGACAGATTCATATAATATATAATACAATCTATTTTGAACAACAATAACTAACAAAAAATAAGATGTTGATACTTATGATTTCTTTGGATATTTTTTGAAGTACTTACAGGAAAAAGGTTCTGAATTCCGCTATCTGCAGATACAATTCTGTTCCAGGGTTGTGCTCGACATATAAAAAGAAAATTTTTGAAAAGCAGCGTCCTTGTGAACTTTAATAAAAAGTTTACAAGCAAATACCATTTTAGACAATTATCTCTGAATTTAATTCTGACACACGGCTTAGAAAAATATACATATAATTTATGGGATATCTGTCCAGTATTCCATCCAGTCCAAGTAAACAAATTGAGTTAGTAAGGTCAATTACTATGAAGAGATGGAGTTAGAGAAAGGTCATGGGCAATGATGTAAATTACTTTGTTCATGGGATACTCGTGCATAGCTCTACCAAATATTGATAGCATGAGAGAGAGAGAGAGAGAGAGAGAGAGAGAGAGAGAGAGAGAGAGAGAAACGTCGGGGAGAGAGTTAGAGTTTTAACTTATCTTAGAGTGTGGTTACCCATTTTAAGTGCAGTGGAGCAATTACTAAGTAGATTAAACATTTCCAAGTTAATCACATTAAACACAAGTGCGGAAAATAAAGAACACAACCATATACATGGTTTGGCTAAATCCACTTTTAGCCTACACCTATGGGACTTTGTCCAGATCAAAGCAATCCACTAAGTTAAAAACACATTACAAGATATAGTTTAAAGCTGATCTAAGTTATAGTAAAAAGAGCTCCTTGTTTAACTTTACACTTAGCACTACACTTTGAATCCTTAATGTGTAGCAACTACTTTTGATCTTCTTCACACCGGGATCACACCTGTGAACATCTTGTAAATCACTAAGCTTCAAGCACTAATGCAATGCACCAACATTAGCAAAGGAACCATGTTCCAAGAGCCATCAATAACGTGTTTGATATGGTGAAGTTTTGGTTCAAAATATAGAAATGAACCTTGAACCTTAAGAGAGAAAAATACTCTAAGAGAATCAGAGTACAATGAAACAAAATGTCAAAAGGTTAGATTCATACACGCAAGAAGGGGTATTATATAATGAAGGATTTTTTGTTCAACAATATAGTACCAAGTCAGCTAACAAGGGACTGACCAATGATTGTCCAAATAAGGAAAACTTTCCTTCTTTTGGTTTGGACCACAAAACAAATCGAGAAAATTACTTTATTCCTTAGGACCACTTAAGGATGTTATAACACATGTAAAAAGGTCCTAAAAAGTGAGAGACAAAGATAAACAACATCTTTTCACCTTTTCAGATATGCAACTCATGCTAGGTTGCAAATATCTGAAGCGAGAGTGAGCACAAACTGTTGTGCACACACACTCTAAACGAAACAAACCAAGACTCAAGTCTGGCAATCAATGTGCACGTAGAACATATGTGCACACATACAATCCATAAGTTTGAAAAATATGAGTTTTCCATATTCTCCCCCTTTGTCAAACTTATGAATGAAGAACACAAAAGGATTAAGTGCAAACCTAATTCAATCAACCAATTAAACCTGCAGATTTGCAAAAACAATCATACAAACAAAAATAATCAAAAAACAACACAAAGGTGAGCACAAGGTTAGCAAATAAAACAAGTAAGACCAATAAAGTAAAATAACTAAAAAGTTATGTAGAAACAAAACAGAAACAATAGCAAATACAGTAACAAACCCCTTATGGAGAGATAACAACAAAAAAAAGTTCAAAGTTCAACAAATAAAAACTTAAACTCCCCCATGCTTTTTACTCCCCCTCTTTGTTCATAAGTCGTGAAGATTTTCGAGAGGGTAGGGAAGAGCGACCAATTTTGCGTTTTGGAGGGGTAGTGATGGTGACATATGAGTCCTCCACTTGAACATTTGGAACAGCAGCAGAGGAGGTGTCAGCAACTTCACCTTGGAATGGAGGAGCATCGTTAGTGCGCACATGGGTATCATCTTGAGCAGTTGCATCTTCAGGTGCTTTTCTTCTTCATCAACAAATTCTTGGTCTTCCTCATCATCATGAGTTGCCTGTTTTTCTTCTGGAGTCACAACTGCAACATCTTCATCAGGCATTGCAGGAGTAGGAGGGACATCAAGAGCAATTGGAGTAGGAGGAGGCACCACATTCTAATCTGCAGGGTCTATCAGAACAGGTTTCTTCTTCTTCTTCTTCTGCTTCTTCTTCAAATCAGCTTCCAGTTTGTCCATCCGAGAACTAAGGGAAGTGTGAATTTCCTTCACATATTGAAAGACAGTCTCCATCAAAGTTTTTATGTCCTGCATGGCAACAAAAAGCTTGGATTGCCAAGTGTTAGTCCTTGTTTGATCAGTTGAAGAAGTTAAAGGCAAATTCCCTATAGGATATCTAAAAGACTTCTTGGTGACAGTCTTTATCTTTAAAACAGATTCCACTTCATAAAACTTGGGCTTGTAAGTGGAAATTATCTTGTAAATCAAGGAGGGAAAGGGCTTGTAAGTGGAAATCATCTTGTAAATCTGTAACGCTCACATTAAGATATGTAATTTTACTTATGCCCTAATACCCTTAGTTGGATTTCTTTGAAGTTATCTTAACAAATGTGAAGAAAATTCCTTAAAAGTTCATTAGGGGTAAAATGGTCATTTCACTCTTAATTAGATGAAAGAGTGGGGAGTGAAAAGAAATAGAATAACATGGAGAAGTTAATAAAAATGAGGCTATTTTAGTAATTGACTAAAGGACATAAAGGGAATTTTAGAGAAAGTGTAAGGGCAAAATGGGAATACATGCTTATATTATTTGATATAAGGCTTTATTTGAAGAAACCCTAACACACCTTCAGCCCTTGTTCATGCCACCTCTACCCCATTTTCTCTCAATTTTCTTCACTAAATTTCAAAGGAAAATCATAGGATTTGGTTTAGATTTTTGGAGATTTTCAATCCTAGAGCATCCTAAGGTAAGATTCTAGTAAAAGGAGTGTGATTAAACTTTAAAGTTTTAAATTCTTATGGTTTTTATATGATCTAGTTTGAACCTTAATTTGAGCCAGACTTGTGTTGAATGAATTATTGCATATTTGTATGCGATGATATGAGAGAATTATTGAATGTTTTTGATGTTTAATGATGTATAAATTCTAGCCATGAGAAGTAGTGTATGGTTATGTGATGATTTGGTGAAGTTGTGGAAGATTTAGTGTTGAAATTTTTGTAAGTGTAGAGAATTGTTGAAAATGGATAGGTTTGATGCTATAATTAGTGAGTTTTTGGCTCACAATTTGGTTGAATTAGAGAGTTATGGAAGTGTAGCCAACATGGTAGTTACATGTGCATATGAAGTGTTTGATGAAAATCCAAAGAGAAATTGCATGCATGAGTTGGCTAAACCCTAATGAAGAAAGGGTTAGAGAAAGGCAAGAATTGAGGTTTGATGATAATCAATGGAATTAGTTTTGTCATGGGTTTTTAACATATTACATTTTTTCACAGGGGAGAATGATTAGAAAAGGTTAGGGAGTAAGTGGAGGTAAATAGGTATGGAAAAGCCTTAAAGTAGGCATGTTACCAAGGTTGCCTTGTCAAATCTGTGACATTCTTAGTGATTTTTGGGCATCTTACCTATCGAATTGGGTTGAGTCCTAAACATAAACGTTGTAGCCCTTTCTCTAAGCTTTAAAATCAGACCAAGAACATAGAAATCCGATGTGTATAACTCAAGATATGCCTTCTTGAATATGACATGTGCAGAATGACTATCTCAAAAGTGCTTCCACTTTATTAGTTTATTTGTAGTCTAATAATCTATGATTGATTCCAAGTATGAAAATGATGCTTAAAGGGGTGTGAAGCATATTTGAATGAGTGGTCTTTGTGATTATTTAATGATTGTATGAACATATATATTTGATGTAATGAATGACCATGGAGGCTATGTGTAATATGTTCATATATGGAAAGTGTATGTTTTTAAAGAATGCAAGTGTAGAATTTCCATAGCTTGGAAATTCATGTTGAAATGTGTATAATATCTCTTTCTATAGCATGGTATGATATAAGGTTTTTGCGATGGGGAACTCGTGAGTGACAGAGATGCCCACATACACACTGCCACGAGCGAGCGGCATCAGCAGAGAGATACAATATTTATATAGTCCATGAGTAGTGTATGTGGATGAGAACTGTACCCAGTAAAGCATACCTACATGCACGCTGCCACGAGCGAGCAGCCATAGCAGAGAGATACAATACTTGTACAGTCCGTGAGTAGTGCATGTAGATGAGGACTGTACCCACTCACATGGCCAAGGTTCTAAATCCATGCATCAACCTAGTCCAATCGACAAACTAGAAAGAAGAAATAAAAGAAAGAGAAACAAAAGAGAAAAGAAAGAGATACAACATAAGAGAAACAGAAACAGAAAAGAAAGAAGAATATAATCAAAGAATAAAGTGAGAAAAGGAAAAATCAGAACATGAGTAACGGAGGAA